TTAGGGGAATGTGAATCAGGACTTGGAGTTAGTTGATAACATTCCTGACTGTTCTTAACCATGTGGCTGATGTGGGGTGGGCGTAAGGGGAAGGAAGTGGAGTAAACTAAAGATGTGGGGTTCCAATTTAGCTCTGTAGGAAAATGCCGTGTTTGCTTGGATATGGCTAGGGGCCTGGTGTCAGATAAAAGAAACTGTCCATCTAAATATGACAGATGCAAACAGCTCCTCTGGTTCTGCAGAGCAAGCTGAGAATGCAATTAATGTTAATTGTTTATTTAAAAAATATATATTGTCCTTGAAACAGATTTACTGTGGGGAGAAGGGCAGTGAGTGTGGGGAAAGGAGGCCAAGAGTGTGGGGAGCCCCACAGAGTCTGGGGGACTTTTTCAGTATTTTAAATTAAAAGAAAAAAAAGACCCATGAAAAAACTCAGCCCATAAATACTCTGAAGCAGTTGGTGTGTTTTATTGGTGTTTGGGAAAAGGGAAGAAAAGACTGAAGACACCATTCAGGGTTGAGAAGCTGGTGTGGGGCCCTGAGTTTTTAAGGAATAGGGGCCCTTAATATAGGATGTGGTTGGCTCTCCACTTCTGTCACTCAGGGAGAGGGAGCAAGGATGTTGGCCTACAAACCAGGGCTTTTCCTGACTCCTGTCCATCCCTCTGTTCCTGTAGCTAATGTAGATGCATCAACGTCAGGTTTGGGATCACAAAATTAGGGATTTGATGGTGTTTGATCTAAATGATTTGTTGACATCTAAAGCTTAGTCCAGGCTAAGCAAAAAAGGAAATCTACTCTTTTCTCTTTCAGTCTTGTCTTCCTTCACAAGTTCTCATGTTTGTGAAGGAGAAATGTGACCTCTAGCCAAAAGGAACTCAAGCATCTCTGCTTGTGACCAGCAGGAGGCATGCTATCCAAACCTTCTAGAATCCTGCCACTGAAAGAAGTTAAAAATGACTTGTGAATGTAATATACAAAAGAAACAGTACCAAAGGAGAAACAAATTAAGACCTGTCTCTCCCTGGCCCCACCAGCATTCACATGTGGAAACAAACTGCTTGCCCATTTTGCCCAAGTTTGATTAGGACAGTTTATCATGATGTTTTCCCAAATGTGATTGGCTTTTCAAATGAATATGCACCAAGGAAGATAAACAAGGTCTGGGAGACATATTTTAGAGAAATCTCCATCTTATCAAGGGAAGGGTATTTCTACACTGGAGAAGAAATGTTGTTCTTGGTATCTAACTCATTTTTTCTTCTTAATCAGAAGCTTTCTAAATAAGTTTTCAACTACTTAGGGTATTCCTGACTTGCTCTCTCCAGATTTAGCCAGGAAATTGTGATACCTCCTAACCGTCGGCCTTTCTGAACAGCACGTTAGACACTGAATGAGCCAGGTGGTATGGAGATATATTAAAGAAAGGCGTGCCCTGGCCCAGGCGGCTCAGTTGGTTGGAGTGTTGTCCCATACACCAGAGGTTGTGGGTTTGATTCCCAGTCAGGACACATACCTAAGTTGCAGGTTCGATCCCCTGTCGGAGCCTGTACAGGAGGCAACCGATCAGTGTTTCTCTCTCACATCGATGTTTCTTTTTTTTTCTCTCTCTCCTTACCTCTCTCTTTAAAATCAATAAAACGTATCTCGGGGGAGGATTAAAAAAAAGCACCCCCTGCCTTTGTGGGGATTGTTGTCTAGTTGGAAGAAACTATATGAAAAAGTACATGTACTTCAAAAGCTATAAACTCAAATATTAAAGCTAGGATATATATACAGGGTGGGGCAAAAGTAGGTTTACAGTTCATATGGAAAATAATACAATAATAAAAATACAAGAATAAACTTTCACATACTCAACTGTAAACTTTCTTTTGCCCCACCCTGTATATCCTAAACCAATCCTCTGACGTCTCTTTGAGCAAGTTGTCCCTAGTTTGTGTTTGCCAGGTGGATACAGCTGGGGAATGAGGTCAGGGAGACTAAGTGTGGGATCATTCATTTAGTGCAATTTCATTTTAATACAGGTAAGGAAGTTGAGGTATAGAAAGAAATGACTTATAAGGTGACAGCTAGTTTATGAAGAGCTTCAGTTAGTATCTAGGCTTCTACATGATTTTTCCATTATTTCTGGCTTCCCTGGTCCTTAGTTTTAAGCTGTAACCCTACAGATCCTGGAGTACCAAGAAATGTTTGTGGCTATCTCTATTTCAGTTTAAAACTTGCCATTTCTTTTTCACTCCCTTACTATAGGGCTAGGCAGCCAGGGCAAACCAATTCTGCAGTGCCTCAAATAGCTATTCCTGCTGGTGTTTTAGCTAGGTATTTTCTAAAGTCTTTATTCCAAATTGTGGATCAAGGGTTCTTCTACTCCAACTTGTTTGAGTGATGATTGTGCTGACAAGCTTCTTGGCCATCTGATGTGTGGGGTGTCAGAGATGAAGTCACCATTATTATTGTCCAGTGGCATTTATTTTAAGCTGATGTGGCCTAGGCATAGAGAATTCAGGCAAAATAATAACTCAGAATTGCCATCAAGGACATCTGTAGTGAGCCAGTGGCAGCTTATATGTATATTGTCCTCTGCTGGGTCTTGAGGGAGGTTAACAAGGAAAGGGAAGATAAGACATGACAGTGGCATACAAATAAAAGCAAATTAATGTAGCTCCAAGCAGAATTACAAGAGCTAAGGGAAGGAGAGTCAGGAGATGTGTTGTTAGCTGAATTTTATTAGGCGTAGATGACTTACTAATAAAAGATAAGGAGTGGTTCACTTTCCCTCTTGGGAGCACGCTTATGCCTTTCTTCCCTCTCAGGCATGCATCTTTACTTTTCTCTCCTGAACTCTAAGGGTACTCATGAGACTCGCAACCAGGGAAGCAATGGGCAGTTGCAGCTTGTCCCAGCCTAACCCCCGAACCTGTCTCCAAGGCCCTCTTTTCTCTGACTTTTCAGTAAGCCAACAGCAGCCCCGCCTTGGCTCTCTACTGTTGCTTCTTCCATCCTAAGCTCTTCCTTGTTTCACTGTCCATAGCTTTAATAAACGTACTCTCAAAATAAATAATGAAATTTTAAAAAGATAAGGTGAGGCTTCCCATGCTTGGGCAGGAATATTTTAATTCAAAAGTAATTGTTGCCCTGGCCAGTTTGCCTCAGTTGGTTGAGCATTGTCCCCTGCATCAAAAGGTCACCAGTTCAATTCCCAAAGTGCATGCCCAGGTTGGGGGTTTGGTCCCTGGTTGGGGTGCATATAGTAGGCAGCCGATCGGTGTTTCTCACATTGATGTTTCTCTCTCTCTCTCTCCCTCTCCCTTCCTCTCTCTCTAAAAATCAATAAAAAACATTTTTTAAAATAGTAATTGTTGAACACTCACTCTGCGATTGGAAATATTAACCGTTATTGGGCAGGTAAACAATGTAAGAAATGGTGTATACCCTGGAGGAAATTGAAGCCTCATTGAGATACTTCTACATATAACACAAGAT